GGTTAGAAAACATGGTGTGAGTGTGGTCTTGATGGTACTACACCCCTACAAAGTGATCAGATCGGCGCATTGTGAAATAGCTTTCAGTTATATTGATATTGTTCAGCTGTAAGTTTTGAAGAAATCTTTTCCGTTTCTTGGGCGAAAACAGGACTTCTGTGCGGTACAGTTTTATACATATTAATGATTGTATATTGTATATTTTATATGTATTTTAAATTAATTTTGGGCAGTGACATTGTATACACTCGTTGAATTCCCAACTGTTTGTTATAATCAAGAATAATTTAACTGTTATTTATCTTCTGTCGCCCACATGTTTTGATACATTGTTCATTGTCACAACATTGTAATAATTACAATTGGTATGTTCACATTAAAATCTTCATTAATAGTTGCTGTGCGCTTGATTGTTAATACACAACAATTGGCTTAAGTTATGAGATAGTTCTTATAGTTTAGTAATTAGATCACAAACTAAGACATAAAGGAATTTGGAAAATATATTGTAAATTAAACAGATTATGGGTTTATTACAACCAGGCATGCATCAAGTATTGTTTATTTTTTATGCCAATCCCTTCCACGGCTATCAGGGATGTTGACATAATAATTCTGCTTTTGTTGTTGGTAATAATTTATTGCTGTGGATTGTAAAGCTAAAGAAGTTAATGGACTAAAAAAGTGAAGATGTAAAATTGATTGCTTTATTTTATAATTTCGAATTTTATACACTATTCAAATATAGGTGGGTTGGGATACTTGCATTTGTTCTTTTCTTCTATTTGTCAGTTTTCTTGTTCATCTTCTCTCTCTTCCTCTCTTGGCCCCTTGCCGACCGCTATAATTTTTTACTCCATGTTCAGCAAATCAGTGGAATTAAGAATTTTCTAACTGGCCAGTCTAGTGAATCGCATACGCTACGTGAGCGTCTACGCTTCAGTAATGGTGGACTCTTCCAAACATCTGAGGTATATAGTCATTATGCTCGAGATCACAGCTGCGTTGTTTTTTCTTGATTTAATTTAAATGGAAAGTTTGATGTGTTCCCTAAACAAATATTATTGATATAAGAACCATGAGAGCTAATTAAAAATAGAAGCATTAAAATAAAAGACGTGATATTCGAACTGATTTGTGATATCTGCAAAACTGAGAAAATGCCTCAAGAATGGAATATAGAATTATTGTTCCCTATATTTAAAAAAAGTAACAAAGAAATTGACCCTAACTATACAGGTATAACGTTACTAGAGGTGCTCAATAAAGTGCTATCTAATGCCATCCTGAGAAAACTCAACATTTATACTGGAAAGAATTTGGTGAATACAAATTCGGCTTCCTATATAGAAGGGGCATAACAAATCAAATTTTTGGCATAAGGCAAACTATGGAACTTGTCTATGAATAAAATATGGATCTTCATCTTCTATTTATAGACTACAAACAAGCCTTCGATAGTGTAAAAAGAGCTGCTCTATTCAGCATCCTCTAAGAATAAGACATACCTATGAAACTTGCAAGGATCATAAAATCGAAATTAAGAGATACTGCTGCCGAAGTTATAATTGGGAACAAAGCGGGTGATGCCTATGATGTGATCGCTGCAGTATGGCAGGGCGACACTATTCAATTTGGCCTTACATTCGGCAGTTAAAGATCCAATCAATAATGGAACGTTAACCAATAAAACCTGGCAAATTTTCGCGGATGCAGATGATTTGGTTATTATGACCAAAAGCAAAGCAGAACTAAAAGAAGCCTTTGAAATTATTCTAAAAAGAGTCAAAAAGGTTGGGCTCCTCCTAAATAAAGAATAAAAACAAAATATATGCTATTAAAAGCCGCAAATAACCAACAACATTTCCCTTCTGAATTATACACTTGAAAGCGTGACCAGCTTCGCCGCTCCTCAATAAATATAGAAAACAAGATTAGCCATGAAATACAAAGTAAAATAATGGCCGAAAATAGGGCGTATTATGAGAATCTCAAACTCCTCAAATCAAATATTCTTTCAATGAAGACTAGACTAGTACTGAATTATATTCTGAACTAGCCTTTTGTCACCTGCGGGAAGGAAGCCTGGAAGTCCTGGCAGACCTCTTTTTATTTAATTATTAACATCCGTCTGAAACTTCGTAAATAGCTTCATCACATCGTAACCTACAAATATTTTACTTACGAAAATTCTCGGAATTGAAATGTTTTCAATCTGGAAGTCGGCAAACTTTGTCTATTTATTTAGGTACTATAAATTCCTAAATAGTCATTTGTTTTCCACTTGGATCGTATGATAATTTGATCAAAAAATCGATAAAAAAGATGCCTTACAAAAATATTGGGCTGTTTGGGCTATATAACCTCGTTATTTGGACAGTTTTGGGGCGTAGGTCACGCCAAACGGCTCAATATTTTTGAAGGCTACCTTTTTCCTCGGTTTCTGTGCTCAATTTATCTTACGATTTAAGTGGAAAGCAAATGGATATTCACGAATAGAATAGAGTAGAAATCAAAGGACAACTATCGGAAAGCATAGATATAACATCTGGCCTGTTACAGGGAGAAAGTATTAGTCCAACACTTTTCGTCTTGTTCATATCAGATATAATCCAATTTTTTTAGCATAATGGAGCCACAGGCGATCGATAGCACTCATGAAGTTAAAATGCTCTAACTAGCAGATGATATTCTTCATAGTAATACTTGGCAAGAAGCACAAAAGAAACTGAAGATCCTGCAACAGTACTATGAGAAGAACTCTCTGACTGTAAATGAGGAAAAATCAAAAGTTGTAGAATTCCATAAATCCCCCAGGATGAAGAAACTTAAGCCCCTTTACTGGTATGAGAAAAAGCTGGAATACACTAAGGCCTATACTTACTTAGGTGTACCTTTCACTTCCTCAGGAAAATTTAGTAAGGCATCTGAGCATTGAATATAGAAGTGCTCTGTTGCCACGGGAAAAGTATTGGAGATTTTGCGAAGGGGTAGAAGCGATTCATGGGAGACAAAAATAGCTCTTTTTGATTCTATGGTGTTTTCAACCCCTCTGTATTCTTCTGAAATATGGAGCTTAAGATACCTGGGCGCTATTGAAGTGGTACAGCTGAAGTTTCTGAAGCAACTATTTAGGTGGCCAAGGAATACTGCCAACTACATTGTGAGTATAGAAACTGGCCGAAACGCCTTGAGTGTCAGGGTTATGAGAAGGATCATAAATTACTGGTCTAAATTGTCGCTGAAGAGAGGTTACCAAGGCTTTGCTTCAACAAATTAATTTTGCTGGATACAAGGAATCCTGATATAAACTTTAATTGGATCACACAAGTCAGATCAATAGCTGCTCATTATGGCTGTAAAGAAGAGTTCGATAAAGTATACCCAACTGGATTATTAAAATACAGCGATGAAATATTGGAAAAGCTAAAAAACCATAACCTATCTAAGGACATCCATTTATCCATAAATTCCAACAACAATCCCATATATAGAACTATTTCCAGCTTCAATATTTCCAGCCCAGTGTCCTATTTGATGTATAGAGCTAACACGAAAAAGCTAAGATCAATAAGTCAGTGAAGGGTTTCAAATCCCGAATTAATTAAGCTCTATACGAAAACAAGCTCTATGCGAGCAGGGCGCTGTGACTAAGTCACCGTTATACATTCTGAGCTTTACCAGTGACTGTAACCGTTCATGCTTGTTAAGCCTCATCAAATTTCGTCAGACTGTCTGAGTCAGAGATGGGCAAATGCTACTCTGAGTACTGAGCACCAAATATTTTACTCAAATATTGTCATTTTTTTTATTGCCCAAGAATTTAATTACTACTTCAGTTGATGTCAAACGATTAACTGAAGTAGATATCGAATTCTCAATAGTGATTCAATTTGAGTAAAATATTTGGTATTCGGAACTCATAGAAGCATTTGCCCACCTCAGTTCTGGGTCTATTACTGTCATGAATATCGTGACTTGCTTTGCATATGTTTATAAATAGTTACAGCATCAGTACAGTTACCAAAGCCTGTGACCAGTGATTTTAGGTTTTAGCGATGTTTTTCTGATTGTCTATGAATGTTAATGAAAAGTTTAATGCATAATTCCTCGACTTTGGCATGTTACGTACGCAACGAGATGCATTATTAGTGAACTGAAACAATGACCCTTTGAACGCCACTTATATGTTGCAATCCGTCTGTATTTCAAACTCTCACTCCACAATAATTAAACATTGATTTCGGCATCATATCTATCGCTTATTATCTATAGCTAATAATCATAATAAAGGTTATTCAAAGGTCATTATCCCTACCTCATTGATACAATTATATAAGTATCTTGACAAGCAGTGTAAGCAGCTTACCCTCTTTTAAAAAACTTTACACTCTTATTTTGATTCTCTTCGATGACATTTCACACGATTGGTAGCAAAAATAATTTCAATTTGCTTCTCTTCCACCTACAACCGTAGCTGCTAGACAATATTCCAAACTTCGGATCATCAGAATCAAACTTAGTCTGTTGATAAAAAGATTTCTGAAAAATTTTGTGGAGGTACATCAAGTCATGCATTACTATACTTACAAGGAGGCAAGATCCTAACTCTGAGGCTGTTCTCGAATTCCTTTCCTACAAATGCAAACAATAATGCGGCTTATAATTTGGTTATATCAAGAAATCAGGTTTTATTGATTTATCAAAATACTGTTTATTAAGGTACCTCTTGCTTGCCCTTTTTAAGTGTGTATGTAGTCTGATCAATTGTGTTTACTTAGTGGAACGAGGTAGAAGTATAGAAGTTTAACTTAGTTCTATGGACACTATTTTAACCTACTTTCTTGAATGACCTTCCATTAGATAACGAGAACCTTTTATCAGGTCCACTTATAAAAAAAAAATCGTTGGTCCCATTTAGAATACTGAATCATTGTGTGAAAAGATTTCTTTCGTTTATTTAAGTGTACTTTTAAAAAGAAAGTATCCCCTTTAATATAATGTATTGTTCTGGCAGAACTGTTTTTTCTTCAACTTTAGGAAATCAGGTAAGATATAAATAGATTAATTATGTATATTATTTTGTTATTAATGTTTTAGAACATTTAATGCAAAATATAAATTAATTTAAATTGTTTTAAAAACATTATATTAAATTTAAAATATTTTTTATATTTTAACCATTAATTTCTTGTAATATTTTTGTTAGTTTGCAAGATGATTGCTTGGTCAACACTTACATAATTAACATTTTTCGGTTTTTTAATATTTTAGGAGGTTTCAATCATACATTTGTCTAGTTTCATATAAGAAGTAATAAGTATAGGATTGATGTTTGAATATTGTAGTTGTATTGCTAATATATTCATTAAAGTTTTTCATCATATATAATATATAAGATATTATAAAAAAACAATCATGTATGAATTTCGGTCTTGCAGACCCTTTGAAATCTGTTTTTTTCTTTTTGTATAGATACAGCTTCTAATTAGCTTTTATCTTTATGTTACTTAAGATTTTCAAACGTCTTCAGAGCACTTTAGTCATAGCTGAACATAACAATGATGCAGTATCACCTGTCACCAGAAATACTCTCACAGCAGCTTCTCAAATCGGTGGAGAAGTTTCATTGCTTGTGGCTGGGGAAAGCTGTGGAAAGGTGAATATTTAATTTTTTATTACATGTAACAATTTGCTTGATTATTATCATATCTAATACTGTTGCGTATTTATTGGATTTTGTTGAGAAATCAAATAAACAATTAATTTGAAGAATAGATTGCTTCAAATATGTACACCTCATCTTAGGCTTATTAATCGATATATATTCGTGGCTGTTGTATGAGTTATAAAAATTCCTAGATTAGATACAACTAAAGATTCCTTTCTAATTCAGTGTCTGATAGCCGACCTTTTCTCATCCATTGAATTATTTCTATTGTCCTCGGTTTATTCATTATCTTTCATTTAATTTTAAAGTTTGTGGATTTTGTTATTTCTGTGATTTTTTTTAGATTTAGTATTTTTAAAAGATAGGTATGAAGACTATGAGGTCATTACTATCCTGTCTAGTTATCATTTGACGTAATTAGTGTTTTAATGTAATTTTCTTAAATATTTCAGTTTTACATAGCAATATTGCTTTTCAAAATTTAAGGATTTCATTTTTTTCCGATTTCCTCCTAAGCTTTCAAACTCTTTAATGACCATATCACTGTTTTCATGCCCTGTTAAACTATTTTTTCTCCCCTTATTTAATAATCCATTCTTATAAATGTAAGCTAAGGGCTCTTTGTATTGACATTATATTTTATATATTTTAAATGTGACTTTGTTCGATATCTTGAAATTTCATTGGACTTAATATTTTTTCAGAAAAAAATTCGAATTTCCTAAAAATAAATTGATATATAAGTATTTCATAAATTATGATAACTTCTCACAAAAATAGTAGTAGAGATTTTCGAAGTATGGAAGTTTGAATGTATTTTATTTCTTAATTAGCATCTGTTTAGACTCTACTGAGCTGTGAAAATTACCCAAAAACTGTTGCAATGCTTATGTAGTATTTGCATTTTAATTAACTCTTGGTAGATTATAGTTGTCAGAAACTTTCTCATGAGATAAAGAAATCCACAAGGTCGAGTGAGAAAAACAATTGTATTTGTTTAGTTTTAAATAGTAACAATCTGTAGAAACGGTAACAAAACAAAGATGTTATTATCTTTTGTATTGAAGTTGCTTAAATTGATGGGTGATTGTCCTCAAATTACATAGATTATTGTTAAAACATCAAAAAGTATTCATTTTTACTTTCACTTACCTATTTTTTTTTTTTTTTCTTTTCGAAGGGTTACTTTTGTACATACAAATGTGTAATATGTACATACATAATATACATGTCACTTACCTATATATGAAATATGTAGTTTAGGGAAAGGTTGTTAAGTCATAGTTATATATTTATTAATAAGAAATAAAGCTAATAGCAATCAAATTTAACATAATATGTGAGTAAAAATGATTTTTTTTTTATCTATTGCATCAAAAAGATTTTATTGTAATACAGCTTTAAGGATAACTGTGGTACAATTTTTTTGTTGCCTGACAAGGATGCCGCAAAAGTTCTTTAGCAACTGAGAGAGTACCGCAGCACAAAAAGTTTTAGAACTGCTGTTTTAAAGCAAAGTAAGGTTCTCGTAATCTAAAATTTTGTGTGGCCGAAAATCATGCTCTCATTGTTTTTAAAATCTATCTCTGTGTATTCTTTTTCACTAGGAATTAAAGTCTGAAATACCCTCTACCTAGTGAGGATAGTATACTAGATTATTATTATATCTTTATATTGATTATAATATAAATGAACTACTAAAAAATATATATTTGGCCTGGTTTAAAAATTCATCAGGATTGGAAGGAACTTTGTGTGACTGACTTCCATAATTCTTTACATACTAACAAACTTTAAGGAGGCTGCTGATCAGGCCTTTTCTCATTCATGTTAGATACGGTACCCAACTTTTAATTTTTTTATTTTTTATTTAATGGATTTACTTGTTTATATGTGCATGTCAAAGATAATTCTTTGGAAATTTAATCCCATGAAATTTTCATTTACTAGGTTGTTGCAAAAGTCCTTGTGCATAAGCATAGCTTTATTTCGTACTACATATTTTAAACATTATAGAATTATACTCTTCAAAGTAAAGTCCATTGTTTTCAATTCTTTTCACCCATCTATGTATAAGTAATTGGATTCAATACTAGTACCACTCCTTTGGTTTCGAGGAAAATAACTCTTCAATCCAATTTGTATATTCTAATAATTATAGAAGATCTGACCTTTTAAAAAATGAGCCATTAATTTAAACAAACCGTAATCTGATGTTGCAATATCTGGGCTATATGCATGATGAGGCAAAGAAGTATTTACTGCTTGCAATTCTGGTAATTTTGCCTTGGACAAACGAGAATGAAGTGCAGGAGCATTTTAGCGTTGCAAAATGGGTTGGTTCCTGTTGAAATAAGCAGTACTTTACATTTAAAACTGCATAAACTCTAGTCTAGCTGTTCACAGTAAAGGCTTGAGTCCACTGTCTGACCATCAGGCACAAAACATCACTTTTTCCTAAACTGATCTTGGCGAATCTCTGGCTGTGCAGATTTACCTTGCCATACCCACTGCTTGTGTTTGCTAGGATTTTTTAAAATATCCCCTTTTCGTCAATTGTGATAATTTTTTTTCTTTGTAAAATTTTGAAAATATCAACTTGCTGCTGGGCTTGGGTCTCTGTCAATTCAATGTGGGTCAGACCTTGCTCTTAAATTTCACACACTCAGATTTTGAAGATGACTAACCCCTGTGGCATTGAATCAATGATTGGGCAGTATTTTGATGAATAACTGACTCTCCTTGTATGGCACAAATTTATTCGGAGGCTGCCTTTGAGCTAAGATATTTTTCCAGTAATGTGTCAAAAGACAGCGAATCGCGACATTTTCTTCAGACGTTGCATGTGCGTTTTAGAAATGTAAATGAACCCCTGAAGCCAACTCAACTCACAATAAATTTAATTATTAGTCAAATTAAACATTGACATAAATAGTAGGAACAGAAACATTCTTAAGGATTAATTATGGTAGTTAAAAATAAGGGTTGTTCTTCATGCACAAGGACTTTTCTTAAAACCTAGCTCTGATTATGAAATATAAATGTAATATCTTCATTTAGTTAATCGATGTTGAATTTATAGGCTGCTTCAGAAGCTGCAAAGCTCCCTGGTCTAGCAAAAGTTCTTGTTGCTGACAGTGCTCATTTTAAAGGCTTCCTTCCAGAGAGTTTAACTGCTCTTGTCTTAGCTCTTCAAAATCAACACAAATTTTCACATATTCTAGCACCAGCTACAGCATTCGGTAAAGCATTCCTACCCCGATTAGCTGCAAAGCTTGATGTATCTCCAGTTACTGATGTGATTGAAATTAAAGGTGCTGATACATTTGTTCGAACAATATATGCTGGTAATTATTTTCATTAGTTTATTATTTTTTAAAATAAGCTTGCTTTGAGCTGTTGTGTAACTATCTATATGTATAAATTTATGTATAAATTCATAGTACAGTAATTCATTAACATTCATCATATTTACTCTGCAGGAAAAACACACGAATCTCGACTTATAAAATACTGAGTATATCTTCCTGTGTAAGTAAGAGAATTATGTAGGTCAACAAAGACAAAAATACATAAAAGACAGGCAAATTATCCTTAAAACAATTTAATATTTAATATAATATTAGCATATGCTTGATTTCTGAAAAGAAATTGGAATAAAAGGGTTTTAAATGTGAATAAGGATGAAGCATGGCCGAGTTTAGGTGTGATGGAATTTCAAAAAGTGGTGGAATGGGCAATAAAGGAGAGTTGAAATGATAGCCTGGCTCCACAATAAAAATGTCAGTATTCAGTTACGCAAAATTTGGTTCTCTACAACTTTGATTCTATGGATTTTCCTCTTAGGGAACTCATTTCCAAGTTAAGGGTCCATTTATAGTAATTTGTCTCAGTTTTTGGCAAATTAGGTAAAAATCAGTGTTGGTTGACCGTGGTTTTATACCTTACCACATAACCAAATTATAAAGTTTATGTACTCGTTTGACGCAAAATTTAACGTTCTTTAATTTATTAAAGAATACATTTTTCACTTTGATGCATCATACTTATACTTTCATGCATTTGAGTTATAGGTGGAAAAAAAAATCGAAAAAAATCTGTCTTTTTTGGTTCTAAAAAGTTTTCCCTTGGTGGTCTGCATTAGTAATATTGTTTTTTACATGTCAACATATATATACAAGTTAAAAAAATAAAAACTTTTCTCATATTTTTCGTATTGGATTTCCCGTTTCGATCCTCCAATTATTGGCCTAATATTCTTTAAATCAGCCGCCATTTTTTAAAGCATCGACTCTAGAACGGCAGATAAGGTTCTTTTTACTTAGAATAACATACACATTCGTAATTTACAATCAAACCTTCGCCTGCGATCAAGTCGATTTTTGGGCCCTGGCTCTAGGGCTACGAGGCAGAACTCTGAAAAAGGGTGTAAAGATGAGAGGGACAAGATATTGTGGTGAGGGAGTGGATAAAATCTAAAGAGAAGTATAAGAATACAAGTGAGGTTTACAAAAGTAGAAATATTAAATTGCTTCAAGGATAATTTGCCTGTCTTTTATGTATTTTTGTATTTGTTGCCCTACATAATTCTCCTACATATACTAGCATATGCTGGCTAATTATGTAATATAGTTTTATTTTTCTTTATAAATCCTTTTTTTTTTTTTATTTCTTCTATTTATGAATGAAAAAGATTTTGTATCGATTTTCACAGAGCATGAACTTTTAGGGAAATTAGGTATTGTTTTTTGTCTGTGTATAAGACGCTCTGTCTTTGAGATGTATTTCATTTTTAATAATCTTAAACACTCTTCCTTCTATGTATTGAGTTGGCAAATAAGTTCTTTCGGTTTTTCAGGGTGAAATAAAACTCAATGTATTATAGACTTAAAATATATTTGAATCTACGATTTATTGACCGTTATTTAGTATGACTTTTTCCCATATTTCCACTAACTGCATAATGACCTGTGCATAGAATTTCTGGAGTTCATTGTTAAAAAACTGATCCAAGAGGTTTTTGATATCTTTTTCCTTTTGGAATTTCTTTCCATTCATGGGGTTCTGCAGAGACTGAAATAAGTGGTAGTCAGTTGGAGTTAGTTCTGGTGAATAGGAAGGATGTGGCAAAAGGTCCCATCCAAGGCTCAATAATTTATTGCGAGTGACCAATGAGGTGTGGGGCCTAGGGTTGTCTTGGTGGAACGCAACACTCTTCCGATCATTTATAACTCTTCAGGATGTTCTCCAAATTCTGTTACTATATCCATTGGAAAGCTGAATTATTTCTCTTCAAAGCCGTATAAATGGTTTTTGATTTAATGCATTTATAAGGAATAAATAAACAAAAACTCTTAATAGGTATTTATTTTTCATAAGGTCCTGTTGATGTCATTTTGTGTAGTTTATATGGCCCTAAATTCCTGATAAATTTCTTGTAGATAGCTTAAGTTGAATTGAAGTTATAACATTTTTTGTGATTTTTGAAAAAAAAATCATGTGAATGACCTAAACATTAAGCCTGGAAACATAGCCGAGCTTGTGCAAATGGCTTCCTACGCTTGTGTGCGACACATTTTGGGCCATAGCAATCTCTTGCACTGATTGGGTGGGATTTTGATCAACAATGGCCTTAACATTGCTCGTTTCAATTTCATGTGGGCGGCCAGACCGTTGAGCATCATTGATGTCAAAATTTCATGAATGAAATTTGGCAAACCAATTTTGACAGGTGCGTTCAGTTAAGGCATAATTCCCATAAACACTGCAAATTTTTCTATTAGTTTCTGCAGCACACTTACCTTTTTAAAAATAATACAACAAAATATGTCGATAATAAATGATATTTTCTTCCATATTCACAGTGCAATAGGAAACACAATACTAAGCTAGTTGCAACGAGAGTTAACAGATTGTAGTAGATAGCCCTCAGTATTTACTCCTTTATGTGACATTGTGTGAGGGAATGAAAAGGAATATATAGGAATGTGAGGTTTTACTATGAATTGTACTCAATTGTGCAGTGGACAAATAATTGTTCATTGAAAAGTCTCATATCGATAAACAATCAACGAAGAAGGAAGAAGCTTAAAAAAGGACCTAGCATGTAGCAGTAGCTGAAGAAGGACACCAGAGAGAAAAGAAGGTACTTGTTGCCGGGAGAGGAAGAAGGAAGGATGTTACCTGAGAAGAGAAGCCTACTACATCTAAGAAGATCAAGACTACAGTTATAAGACTTTAATAGATTCATTTATTACAGTTGTCAAAATAAATTGTTTTGTTCGACAGAAGTGAAAAGTCCTTTTATTTAGTTGCCCTATAGGCCTCAAAATTGAAGAATAACAAACCAGATGAGTCAATTAATTCAAAGTGTGTTTACTCAGTCCCACATTTCATATATATTATATATTATATATATATATATATATATATATATAGTATTACAATGTTTTTTTATAATTCGACCTTTATATATTATGACTTAAGATATGAATTATAGTCGGATAATAGTCTAATTCCCACTGACAGTTAAACACCCTCAAAAGTTTATATCCAGTGCCGTGGTTTTGTTTTAAAATTCACGAATATATATATATATATATATATTTATATATATATAACTTAAGATATGAATTATAGTCGGATAATAGGTCATGAAATACACTTAGATGACTTAAAACAACTTCTGTTTATTCCATTTTTCAAAAACGTTTTGATCCCTGTTTTTTAACATAAATAATGGGATTCTCTTCAGTTTTTTAATTGAGCATCGATACTCCAAGCCGGGCAGCACGCTGACAGACCCAACAGTACTGCTACAAGTACAAGCTACTGAGTACCGCAGCTACTCAGTAAACAACTTATTATTTCTTGTCACTCAGTGTCACAAAAGCATTAGATTCCCGAATTCCCAAGGACAGTTAAACACCCTCAAAACTTTATATCCAGTCCCGGGGTTTTGTTTTAAAATTCACGAGTGTAAATAACCTAGTCCCCCGACAAAACGGAAGGAACATACCATTCACAATTGGAACATACCATCACAAATGTTTAAAAAGGATTACTGTACTTTAAATTAAACATTGTCAAGAAAAGTATTGTTGCATTGAATAGGTTGTTGATTTGTTTGCTATTTAGGGTGTCAGCAGAAATGTTTTACAATTTTATTTAGTTTAGTTATGTTTTAGAAGCAAAATGTAAGCTGAGGTGGAGGTTTAAATTTATTAAAAAACTCTGACGTTGTCAGGGCTCTTCTAGGCGAATATATTGTACTTTTCATCAAGTTGCTATCTGTTGTATTACGATGGCCATTTGAATGCTTGCAAAAATAATCATGTTAAACTAATTATGTCCTAGTTGTATGGAATTAAAAGCGACATAATCTAAAAGAAAAAAAATCTTAGTATCAAATTAAAATATTCAAAAAGTAATTCCTTACTCCAAAATATTTTTTAAAAATGTCTAAAACAGATTAAAGAAATAATAAACTTCTGAATTGTATAATATTTCCGATTTCAGTATGTTTATAATCTTCTATAGTCTTTCATATATCATGAACCATATTTTTCTCAATAAAACCTACATTTTATGTATTTCTAACAGCAAATATAAAGATTTATTGAAATTAATGAATTTAACTATATAGAGGGTTGACTTTAAACATCTATTCATGATACAGTCAGGTACTTCACTTTGTCTCGTAAGCTATCAAAATAAAATCTGTTGGTTTCACATTTTATTAAATATTGATATTTTGTTGTAAGTTTTTTTAATAATAGTCTGTTACTGATATACTAGCTTTATTTTTCTGTTTTTTTCCATTTATCTTTGTATTATAGTTCATAATCAAATATATTCTTTTTCTAATTATTTTCTTGTTTTTATCATTTAAGGAAATGCTGTTCTAACATTAAAAAGTAAAGACCCTGTGAAGATTTTAAGTGTTCGTGGTACAAGCTTTGCACCGGCAGCTGGTGATGGTAATGCTACACCAGAAAAAGCTGCTGACGGGGATTATGCTGCCCCAAAAACCACGTTTGTTAGTCAAGAATTAAGTAAAAGTGATAGGCCTGAACTCACTGCTGCTAAAGTTGTGATAAGTGGAGGTATGGTGTTTATTGGATAATTTTATGATCAGTATTTTTTGTGTGTAGTTTTTAGTAATGTTTAACTTAATATTTTTATGGTTTAAAATCCTCTTATTTATTAATGTGTTCGTAACAGGAAGAGGAATGAAATCTGGAGACAATTTTAAACTGTTGTATACCTTAGCTGATAAAATGGGTGCAGCTGTTGGAGCTTCGCGTGCTGCTGTAGATGCTGGATTTGTACCAAATGATTTACAAGTTGGACAGACTGGCAAGATAGTTGCACCGGTAAATATATATTTATTAATTTCAAATTTTTGAATTTAGAATATCTTTCAAGTATTTCAATGTATAGAATGTTTCATAACAGTTGTAATTAGATGTTTTCTGTTCCAAAACTTCTAATCAACTAAATCTATTAGATAGCTACTGTGCTGACTGAGTACTTACCAGGCTGTTTAAATGGTATTGTCTATTAAGGGATAATAATTAGTATAATGGATCATTTAAAGTTTTTAACTTTTGCCCTTTGCCAAATTAAGAGTTTTAATCAATTTTCCATGGGGACTAGCCATATATGGGTTATAGGAGCTGGGATTCAAACTCATGAGCATTAAATTATCAGACCTGTGCTCTAGCCATTTGGCTTTGAAAGGTTTTGGTGTACACTTTACCTCTAAATTTGAAAACATTAATCTCTAAATTAATAAAGAGATTAGAAATTAAAAATCTAAATTGTAATTCATTGTGATATTTCTTTCATCTATTATCTTAAAAAAACATCAGGCACATCGCTTAAAGGTTTGGAATATATTTGATTTCATAAGTTTGAGTTATTAGCTCACTACTAGAGTTAGTACTTAGCCTTTTCATCACTGCCTCTAGGGTGTTGTGACTTTCCAGAGCTATATTTTTATGAAATAGTAACACTGGAAACCTTAGTGAAAATGATTAGTTTTGATCTAGGAAAGTGGTAAGTTGTGGATGAATCAATTGTTCCAATGGTTTTTATAAAATGGTGAGAATGGAGGTATATATAATGTTGAAACTTGTGTATAAAGAAGAAACACATTCAATGAACAAACTTAGACTTTTTTCCAGACTATGGATTGAATTGAATTTTGGAAGAAAATGTAATTGTACTAGGATTGTGGGAAGGTAGAGTTTAGTCATTTTCATGTTTTGGTAAATTGAAAAAGAAAAACAAGAAGGAGTTAAAGGATGGGAGGAAGCTGTTCCACAAAATGAAAGTTGAATTCAGTTGGGATAAAATTGTTATAAATACATAACTTATGATTAATATTGTTTCCATTTAGTTTTAGCAGATTTTCTAATTAGATTTAGGATCTAGAGCTTATTGCTAAGCGTTCATTTCCTCAATAAGGTAAACTTTGTTTTTGCTCTATAGATGTGCCTAATTGATTTTTTAAAATGAATTATTATAATAAAACATCTATAACAGAGCCTGTAGAGAAACTCCCTCTAGTTCTTTGTATATTCATGCATTCTACATCTTAAATCTATAACTTAATGCTAAATGGTGCAAAAGTTCCTTCTTCACTGAAATATACCCATTTTAATGGTACTTACCAGAGATCTTTTAAAATTGAAATTTTTTTTTAGAAAGTTATCAAAATTGAGACTTGTAAGCAGGTGCACAAATAATTGAAATATTGTTATCAAATAAAACCATTTTGGTTATCTTCATAAAACTGAATCCTAAAAGAACTGACTTTAGCTAAAATATTTATCTTAGCGATTAGTAATTCACTTTGACATAATCTCTACAGTGTTGTTCTGCCTATTTTAATACATTTGTAGTTAATCTGAAAATAGTTTTTTTTTTTTTTTTTTTATAACACTCAAAAATACTCATGAGTAATGGAGTAATAAACATAATTGTTACTTGACTTCGATTTACTTGGTTTTTTTTATTTAAGCTAGGAAAGCGAAACAGCATGTTTCCATTCTCTGCTTTGGGATTTGAGTTCCACACCAAATTCATAGAACCGAGACTCATCTCCTTTAATTAACCTATCAATAAAATCCCCATCATCTTCAGATTTCAGCTTAGTTCTCAAAGGACAAGAAAACTTAAGAACCTAAAAACAGAGGATTTTCAAACAGTCCTCAAGCTGTTTAAACGTAGATGGTGTTGGTGTATTGTTTCTCATTGGCAGCTATTGAAGGATAATATTAAATTACCTAATTAAACTCAAAATATTTTTTTTTTATCACTTTAATTTCAACTTTCCGAATAAACCTTGTATACTGAGCAATTAAAAACTAGGTTTATTTAGTATTTTTTGCTATATTTCATGATTTAATCTAAAGGACAGTCAAATAAGCAATAAGCAATAAGTCAATCGAGCAATAATTCCTATCATTTAACCAGGATAATTTAAATTCTGTTGTTTGATTAAGAAAAATATATTCATCATGTGAAAAATTGTTATGATGCTATCAAAAATTATAATTAGTTGAAGATTCAATCTATTTTTTATTTTTTAAACAATGAGGCATAATCAAATTTCTTGATAAATGCATAATAACAGTTAGTGTGGTTGTTAATATGTGTTTGCTTGTTAATTACTCACAAATAAAATGGAGATTTATCTTAATAGAGATTTATGTTAACCTATGTTAAAAATATACACAATATTTTTATTCTTACTGCTTATAAATCTATTAGTTATTTATATGTGCGTGAGTGTATAATATATAATGTATATATCATCTTTATGTATTAATATTTTACATTTAATGAAGTTTTGGTGTTCTTTCCTCTAGGAATTATATATAGCTGTTGGTATTAGTGGTGCCATTCAGCATCTTGCTGGTATGAAAGATTCGAAGACAATAGTAGCAATCAACAAAGACCCTGAAGCACCTATTTTTCAAGTAGCAGACTTTGGACTTGTAGCTGATTTATTCAAAGCTGTTCCAGAACTTACCGGAAAAATATAATTTACCAGATGCCAAGAAAATGTTCATCAGTGAAGATTAATTAAAATAAGTGTTCAAAATATATATATTTTTGTAGATTTTTATAAAAAAAATGTATATATTTAAAATGTATTTCTATTTTTGTAAACAATTACATTTTTTATTTTAAATTTTATTGAATTAGTCATTTTGAAAAGGTTCTGAATTTTATTAAATTTAATTAATGCTTATGAAATAAAATAATTGATGTTTAGGAAACAAAAGAACACACTTCATAATATAATATAGTTGACTCATTTTGAATTTGACTAATTCAGTGCCTATTTTCTCTCTTAATATAGTTACATTTATGATTTTTTTTTTTTAGATTTTACCTTCTTATTTGAATTTAGTATTAAATGTATGGAGTCCTGATTGTGGAGGTTAATCAATTTCTGTGATTAAATCAGTGTTTATATATTTAAATTGTGTATTTTCCAATGTTATTTAAATAGAGTGATTTACAGAAGTTTCTTGATTTTATATTAGTTGTAATAAATCCTTAAAATGCTTATTATACCTTTACCTTCAATGGCTCTGCAGCTTGATATGGACCTTGGCCTCCTCAATGAGCCTTCACCAGGTGGTTTGGTGGAAAATGCTAACTTGTATCTATATTAGATATGTGTTCATTCCTGTTTGATTTCTAACACAAATTATATTACTATTTTTCTTATTTAATCAATTCAAATTAGCTAATTATTTTTCTTTCTACTTTACAAATATTTCTTAACTTACTTATTTAATAATCTTATTATTTGCTTATTTAAATCATTTCATTTCCGTAATATTCTTAATTTATTGACTTTTATTTTCTACTATATTTTATTTATTTATTAGTGTTAAGTAGGGAGCGGGGTAGCTCAGTGGTAGGACACTGAGCTTCCAATGCAAAGGTCCCGAGTTCGAACCCCGGCTCATGGCAGAAAATTTATTTATCTGTTTCATTGGCCGTGGGGCGACCTTGGGTCAGGAGTCCCTCCTGGGGCACACCCAGCCTCTATAAAGTGGGTACCCTTAATTAAATAATTAATTAGGGGGGAAAACCTGGCGGTTGAGCGTGATCTTGGTCAAATCACCTCCTTGCACAACCGTGGACCTAGAAACAGTGCTTTCCCTAAATAGTACTGAACCCCAGACCCTTTATGGGTTGTAGTGGTACAGGTTTTTTTTTTTTTTTTTTTTTTTTTTTTTTTTTTTTTTTTTTTTTTTTTTTTTTTTTTTTTTTTTGTTAAGTTAGTTTGTTATAGTTATTTGAAATATAGTTTAGTAATATTTAAGTTATAATAATCTAAAATTAATGCTTCTACTCTACTATATTATCATTTAACATAAACTGGCCACCTGGTCCTCCCGATCTCTCAACCCCCCTAAACAAATAAAGAAAATGGGCTCGTCCCAAAATTAAATTCCTTTCTGGAATAATCATTCCACAAAGAATAGATACAATTCCAACATATCTTGTTAAAAGATCCGATCAAGACGATTTAAGAAAAAACTGCTTTGTTTTTTATTCAAAAAGTGATTACACAGTTAGCAGGTGATGTTAAAGCAGAAAAAAAAAATTGAGCGATAGTTGTTTATTGATACAAACACTTAATGGACCACAATCGAATAAACTTTTGTCAGTTACAGACTTCCAAGGCCAAATGAAAGTTGAAATAACAGCGCATAACTTTAAACTATAGTAAGGACGTTATCTGTTGTTATGATTTCCAATACATGAACATACAGGAAATAAATAACAAATTAACCCCGTTAATATAAGATATTGTCAGGATAACATAAAAATGGAACAGTGATGAAATATTAACACACAACTATATAGTTAGTTACCTTTCCAACTCCTAAACCTCCAGAAACCTTACAAATTGGATATGAAACAGTTAGAGTACAACCATATGTAGCAAATTCATTACAATGTTTTAACTGGCTAGGATTTTCTTACCCGATATCACAATGTAAAAAAGTATTAGTATGCGTACAATGTGGTCAAGGAAGGCATGGAGAAAATATAAGATGTAATTTGCCAGCTAGATGACTAAATTGTAATGGCCCTCATTATGCCCTAGATCGCTCCTATACTGAGTTCAAAATACTAAACGAAATAAAGCCATACAAATCAATAAAAAAATATCACTTTACGAGGCAAAAAACAGAAAAAAAATCACATCCAGTTAAATAAAACGTTTGTGGAAATAGCCAAAAAAAAATCAAAATAATACAAATGGAAAAATAGATGTTGACACTCAGGCTAATATTTTATACTCTTTCTCAGTTACTTCAATAAATTCGCAGACAAATAAACCCAGATCGGCAGCAGAAATACTTAATAAAACTAATGAGACTAACTCTACTATCTCTGACTGAGAGACAATTCAACCACAGTCAAGCGAAGTTGACAGCCCTGCGCCACCTCAGACTCTTCCTCTCCTCACCTCCTCTTCTCACTCATCTACCCTCCCCACCACCACTTCCTCCCTCTCCTCTAATCTCTCCACCTCTTCCTCTCCCCACCATTTCTTCCTCCCTCTCTTCTCCCCTCACTACCCCCCTACTGGCTTTTAATTTGTAATTTAAAATACTGGCTTTTAAATTTTTACAATCTTATTTGGCTTAGTGCTAACTTCCCTAGTAGTTGGAACGACTCTATAATAGTCCCAATATTGAAGGCCAGTCAAGATAAGCGCCATCCATCCAGCTACAGACCAATATTTTTAGCCAGCTGTCTGTAACAACCAACCTGCTGAGATAACAAAAGATCTTATCTCCAGATGTCAAAAGTGTGACCAGGCATTAACTATAAACCATGTTTTGGAAGAGTGCCCTTTTTACACCGCAGGGTTAAAAGTTCTTGGAATACTCAGAATATATCAGCATGCGTGGGAAACCAAGAAGAAATCATTACTAAAGTAATGAAGTCCCTGCACAATGAAAGTCTTATAAAATATATATGACAAGTTTATAACTAATGATCCTTTGCAGATTTTTAATTTATTTATTTTTAAAGTTCTTTTATTTTCAAAGGTCATTTATTTATTAATTTCAATTCATTTATTGATTTTATTACTATTGTTTTTAGTCTTATTATTATCTTTAGGTGTATTTATTTATTTATTTTATTTTATTAATTTTTTTAATCCTTTTTTTATTTTTATTTTTTGTTCCTGCCACCTAAATAGTATAAAAATAGCGTTATTTAGTTGATCGGGTACTGATAATCTAGATGTTTTGCATATTAGCAGTGCTAAAAATTATATTGTGTTAATCTAATTGAAATTGAGAATATGTTAAATAAATGGAGTGACAAGAATGAAATTTTATATTAGGTGAAACTAGTCTGTTATCTCTCTAGATATTTTATTATAAAAATACCAATTAGCTCATTTTTATTGAGAAAGTATTAGAATTTAAATTTATTTAATAACAACCAAAGACATATTAAGAGCCAAAGACAGACTGAAGTAAGTCATGAACTGCTTTATAAGGTTTGTCTTCTGTATGTCAAAATGGTTGTATTTTTATGTTGTTACAGTGTCTCTTTCCTTCTATCTGTTAATGATTTTTCCTTGGTTCATAACTTTATCAAAATATTATTATCTGTCTCCTTTTCTGTATTTACAGTTATTTTAATGGGCACATAAAATTCCACCTTTCCCATCTCACAAAGCTTCAGCCTTTAAATATATGTATTCTTTAAGTCATTATTTTGCTTTTATAAATACCTAGTTCTGCCATAAATACTGTTACAAAAGTTAAACTTTGTTTACATCATTGGGTATTATTTAGATAATCTTTATCTCTTTCATGTTATTTTCTTTATATGTCAGGATAATAACCTCAATTAGTTTCTATTTTTCTTTCGCTCAGTGAACATGGAGTGGGGTGATTAAGAAAACGGAATAGCTGTGATCGCCTAACACAAAGGTGGAAAATGTAGGTCAGAGGTTTTCAACACTTTAAAACCTTTGGGTATTAGCCATATGTTCATGTACCACACTATAAATAGATATAATGAGACCTTATCTGTATGTGACAGACCTCGACCTCGACCCCTCACTGTGAGAACGGCAAATGCAGTGAGGAGAGCAGTGGCTGCTTGAATCAGAAGGAATCCCATTCTTGGGAAATGGGAATCTCTGTCCGATCAGTGTCTCGCATAATAAAAAGTGACCTTAGGATGGGCGCATTTTGAAGAAACTAAGAAGAAGGCTAAGAATGAAGGCTAACCACTTCCCTAAAAAAAAAATTAGAGTGGATAGATGAATAGTGCTCCTTGGCCATTACACCAATGGTCTTCGTCGAAATATTTTGTTTAGTGATGAGAAAATTTAAGAAAAATTTAATCACCAAAATGATCGTGTGTATGCACACAGCTCTAAAGAAGCCCAGGAAGTCATTAGAAGAGTGGAAAGAGGACATCACCCTTCCTCAGTGATGGTTTGGTGGGACGTTGGCTTTGATGGCACCACAAAGCTCCATTTTTGTGAAAAGGGAGTTAAAACAGCTGCTAAAAACTATCAGGATGATATTTTGGAACCTGTTGTCAAGCCTCTAAATGATACTCTGTTTGCTGGAAGTGATTGGGTTTTCCTGCAGGATTCCGCTCCAGCTCACAAGGCCAGGTAAACTCAGCAGTGGCTGCTAAAGAACATTCCAGAGTTCATCTCTGCCTCGGATTGGCCCCCAGGAAGCCCTGATCTCAACCCACTAGATTATTGGCTTTGGTCCAAACTGGAGGGGATGGCATGCCACAGAGCACACCCTAATTTGGAAAGCTTCGAACAGTCTCTGGTCTGAGCAATTGAGCGATTTCCTCAAGAAGTGCTGCGCGCTGCTATTGATAACTGGCCACAGAGATTAAATGCTTGTGTCGAGGCAAAAGTTAGTTATTGCTTAGTAATTTATTTTTTTGTTTTACTCTCTATAGATATAAATTTTATTTTCTAAAAAGTTTTTGAAAAAAATAATTTTTCTGTTGAAATCTGTATATATTTCCTTGTAACAATATTTATGACAGGGCTAGGTATACATTTTTTTTTCCCACATACATTTATTTCTCTTCTCTAGCTATGACTATGTACCTCTTTTTAAAATTTTAATTCAATTTTGGCAAGATGTGATTTTTGTTTTGTGTATATTTATGATAGTTTTAGAGAACATTGTAGTTTCTAATGATACATAATTGAATACGCTAAAAGGAACATTATTTTATAAAAACTCAGTAAAATGGGGCAAATGAAACTGTCTTGTAATTTTTTTTTCATAAAAAAATATTTTATTTAATGAATTGAGTAGCTGAGTAAGTATAAAAATTCGACTAGAATAAAACTTTGTTTATTAACAAAAATAATAATTACATCTTAAATATGCAAGATATCTAAATTGAATATTATGTATGAATTAGTTCTTTACACACATTAGAAATTGTATAAGTTCTTTCATTAGAGACCACTAAACTTCTCATCTGTACAATGTATACATATGTATAGTATATAAATTATTTATTTTACACAATAATATTTTCAATCAACCTAGCTCGGAAAGGACTGCATTCAAATCTTCTTGCAAAGCTAAAGACATCTCTTTCTGCCTATTTACATCATCTTGTCTTCTGTCTATGTTTGCTTTAAGTAAATAGTTGCCCTTTTTTGCTCTTGTCACCAATGTTTCATATGTTTTAATTCGTCTATTCAAATTCTTTATTTTGTCTTGTGCACTTGCCGATTCAGATAAATCGTCTTCACTGTCTTCTTGGTCAGATTGCTCTTCACTTTCTGTCTCTGTTTCCTGAAATTAAGGGTTTTCAATAAAATTTAAGGTCATCACAGAAATTGCCTAAGGGGTATGCTCATTATTACATTACATAATAATAATAAGAAAAAAAGAAAATATGTAGAATTGGCGGAAGAATTAAAACAACTGTATGATTTAAAGGAAAGCCAGATTTTACCGTTAGTAATTTCATGTAATGGATTAATACCAGAAGAATCTCAATCTTCTTTGCATGAGCTGGACTTGTCGTTTGTGACAATGGAAAAAATGCAAAGGGCAGTATTGTTGGAAACGGCAAGTATTGTTCGTGAATTTACAAATATAAAATAATTTTGAAAATATATGAATGTAATATTTGGTTGACCAATTCAGTCCCCAACTGTTACAAACAACCATGTAATGTGTGAAACAAATAAATAAAAATAATAATTTTATATATATATATATATATATTTTTTTTTTTCGGTTGGCACTACAGACCATGAAGCTCTTTGACCGCAAGTGTGGTCTCCTAGACCACACCCCGATTCCCGATTTAAATTATGGGGTAGGGTCATCAATCCTACACCTGGTCGGTGTGAGTTGCCTCCAGTAGTGTGACGGGGCTCACATACCCGGGGGAGGGAGGCAGCGAAGCTTTCCTTGGTGGACAGTCATCCATCCAAGTGCTAGCCATGCTTGGCATTGCTTAACTTTGATTACCTATTGCAAGCGCCTTAGCCCGCAAGGCTACACCAGCCCCTTATATATATTAATATATATATATATATATATATTATATATATATATATATATATATATATATATATATATATATATTATATATATATATATATATATATATTAATAGAATTGCTTTAATGTGCTATTTCAACTATGTATATAATTCTTTAAATTGTGGACAGTGATCATTTTTTTTTCTCATAATGTGTAATATTTTTATTCTTATTGTGCATTCAAATAGTTGTGATAAATTATATACTTACCTCTGCGTCTTCATCTTCTTCTTCCTCCACTTCTTCCTCTTCTTCTTCATTGCTTTCATCGTCTACTTCCTTCATGATGTTAGCCATTTTTTCAACTTCATTTTGTAATAGTTTATATTTTCTTTTTTCTTCTTTTAAAACATGATGAAGTCTCGATAACTGAGATTTTAACGTTCTCTTTTCGTTGTTTGTAACGATTCTCTTCTCTTTTAGTGACTTCAGTTTTTGTGTTAGTAGCCTCAACTCTCGTTCTTCTTGTGTCACTGCCTTCATTTCATTTGATTCTTCTGGTTCATCCTCTAAAAAATGTTATTTTATGAAATCGTTTTTCCTGATTAATAATGAAAAAGAAAACATATATTCTGACACACACACACACACACACATAAATATATCAAATCTTGCCTTGTATTTTTCTTATGCCGTATACATAAGAATATATGTTTTACATACTGACATAAGAATAAATATAGTGGTGTGGAAAAATCTTTAAACAAACCAAATTTTTATAAAAATGATAAATGTGTGAATTTAAAAGTGCTTTTATCTTCCTAATTATAAACAGACTTAACCCTGTAGACATTGTAGATGTAATATATGTTTAAATTAGCATTATTTTCAATTAACAACATGCTAAGTTGATCTTTTTTTATTCTCTGAATAATGCTACCTTGTTTTTTAAATTTCACTACTTTGTTATCTACTTCCTTCTTTATTTTTTATTGTTAACATCAAGAGCTGTTGTATAAACTCTAAAAATTTGAGTGTATCTGTTACAATAGTTCTAATATTGGAATTCTGCACTATTTGTCAGTAATTTAACATTCCATATTTCATAATTTCTTTTTGTTTTGTATTTAATGTTAATTTCAGAAAATTGCAAAATATAACATTTTTTCTATCATTATCTTGCGGAAAAAAAAATTATGCCCAATCAACTTAAGCCCAGATGGTACTGTATGAAATCTATAGTACCGTTTTCCATCTAGTCTTGCAGCTATTCAATAAAGGTCTCAAATTCCAAGTCTAGAAACACATCCCCAAACCATTAAGGGGATACCTCCATGTTTTACTTTTATTTGTAAACAGTCATCCAAACATTTCAAATTTTGACAAAAATTTGTTCGATTCATCTTCCTTCCCATTTTTGTGTTCTTTGGCAAACTTAAGTCGCTTTTGCTTCTTTAGAGATAAAAAAAAAAAATGGTTATCTCCAGGTATCACTACCTTTAAGACCAAATGATAGGAATTCACTACTGATCAAGATGAAGGAAACTTGGGTCCTTGTAGCATCAGTTATTTCCTAATCCAGTTCTCTGATAGATTTTTACCAGCTATGCAAACGCAATAATTTTAATGTTGTTTAACTGCAGGACTATCTTTTTGAGACCTGACCTCGTTTCAAATAGGTTTGGATTTTTTAAAATTTTTGAGGGTATAATGAATTCCAGAATTAGAACCTTCAACTTCTTTTTGAATTTCCGTGATTCTAAGTTCTTGTTGGTGCAAAATTATAATTTTATGCTGGTTCAAAAATGCAATATTAAATAGAAAACAAAAAGAAATCATGAAATATGGGATATTAAATTAAATTACTGAATAATTTCAATATTAGAACAATTTTCGCTGATCCACTCAGCTTTCTTAAGTTTATATAACAGCTCTTGATGTTAACGATAAAGAGTAAAGACTGTAGTGGATAACAAAGTAATGAACTTTAAACAATAAAGTAGCATTATTCAGAGGATAAAAAAATTTCAACTCAACAGATTGGTCCCTTGGCTTGTTTTTAATTGAACATAATGCTAATTAAGACTTTTTCACACCACTACTATTTTACTTCTATGTTGTATGACTTTTCATTTTAATTAATTACCCTCGGTTTCAGTTTCTGATGCTGTATCTGATTCAATTCGTTCATTGCTAGGCATGATTTTCTTATTGCTGGTACTGTTAGTCAGTGACATTTTTTTCGTTGAAGGCTGCCTTGTGATAGATCCAGTAAAGTTTCCTTTAGACTTGAGTTCTATTTCAAGCTGTGAATTTTTGAGCCATGCGCTTTCCAGCTTAGCTCTTGTTAAGTCCAGTTCTTCTGCTGTCTTGTGATATTTCTCCTCCATTTCTTTAGTCATTTTTGTTGCTTCAGAAGCTTCTTCTTTTAGTTTGTTTATGAGCTGAAACATCAATTTATAAATTAACAAAAATATATTGCTATATTGATACATTTATTATATTTTATCAAAGTTTATTGAAGGTATTTTTACTATCAATTGAATAAAATATGGCATCAAAGATTTTAAATCTGCAAAGTAATACTCAATGCCTTTCAGAAATTTTTTTCTTTTCTGATTCCTTGTATTTTTGAAGAGGAATTAAAAAAAATTTATTGGAAGAATCATATAGAAGCCTATGAGCGCATTTTAATTTGATTACACTCATGGAAAAAAAAAATTAATACAAAAAATATTTTGAGTTCTTGACCAGATTTTTAATATATTCAGCTTGAATAATTTAATTATTTAATGTACGAGTATATATATTTACTGAATAATTTCCAACTCAATCATATTCTGTTTGACCCTTTAATATGTTTAAGTGATCCTGTTAAGTTCTTACTTTATCATCTTCTGCAGTCCTTGTTTTAGCTACATCTCCTTTTTCTAGCATTATTTTCTTTTCTAGCTTTTCTTTTTCCAATTCTGCTTCCAAATTAGCTAGTCGGGCCAGTATGCGTTTGTTTTCTCTTTCAAGTGCTTCCTTGTTCCGCAACTCAAGTGCTAGCATTTGTTTTGTTGATTGAAGGTCATCCCGAACTTTATCGATGTCATCGAGTTCATCCGGTTCCGATGCAACAGCCACTACATCTGCTACTGAAGCCGACTTTGTAATCAGTTCTTCGATCGTCATCTGCCTTCTGAATTTTCGGAGACCTAAAATTAGGACACAAATTAGTTTTTAAAGATATGGGCAAGTGTAGTTACTATTAATGTTGCTGGAATATAACTTGATTGCTACTTTGATATTTTAATTATTAATAGCCCAGAACTGAAACCTGCAGAAATGTGCATCCTAGTATTCAGTAGTGTAATTAAGGTTGACTACAACTTGAGGGAAACATCCTGAGGATGTTCCTACTTAATTCATTAACATTTTTTTCCAGCCAGGTACGAGATATTTTACACTAAAATGCCAATTACAAAACATTTATTGCCAGATATCGATATCAGTTATAAACAGGTATAGCTATAGATTTCCCGGTGCCAGAGGTGAAAAAAATTCAGTTCCACATAATCTTACCCCTCCCCCCCCCCCCATTCACTTCTAAACCAAACTAGTATGACCCCTGCCATTGTCACCTCATCATCATACCATTTTTTAAAGTATTAAATAAAAGAAATCTTACCTGATCTGTAACTGCTATGTTTCCAAAAATTTTAAATTTGTCTGTACAGAAAAAAATCAAAATTAAGAGCCTTGCTGATTCTTCCTGGAACGAATTTTGACAACTAACACTATGCTGTCAAATCTCTCATAGCCCTACTTTATAAACATGTATTTGTAAAAGCTAATGCAATAAATTTTAAACTGAACATTCAGAAATGACAGGGAGAGAGAAAACACGGAATGATAATTCTTAGATAGACGCTTTGAAGGTGAAAAGAGTATTCTGAGCTAAAATATATAAGATAATCAACGGTACAAGCTAGATGCAGGCAGCCATGTCATAGATCCATCCCCAGCGCTTTTCTTTAATTTTATTTATCTTTGCAATCATGCACCAGAAAAATTCGTTACTTTTTGCGTTTTTATTGTTACAAAATATTCTTTACCGAAAAAAAATATTGACTCTTCCTAATATAACACCACGTCTACTAACCTTCCAATATTGGTTTACTTCTATCATTTGTTTTCACCTTCTTGAGTTGTACACCAGACTGTATCTCTTTCAAGAGAAGGTTGTGGGAATTAGGTTTTTCAGAATCGTATACGAACTGTAACAAAAAACATTATGCAGTAACTTAAGAACACTGTATAAATTAATTTTCATTAAAATTTAATTTGTATGCGTTATATCACTACCAGTTATTCTTTTTTGCTAGTAAGAAAAATAAAGGATTAGTAATGTTAATAAAGGTGTATAATAATAATCAATTTAATTTATACAAAATATGCTATATTGTAAAATCTAATCCTTGGACCTGTTTTAATGTTAAATGTGTTTACACCTTTTTTCGTCTTACCATATTATCATTGTTATTACTTTTGATTATGAAGCCTGATGTTTTTTTTCTAATAAACAGTTCAAAATTCACCCAAATAATTGAGTTATCGTCGAATAAGACTAAGATTCGCGCTTTGATATTTCTAACGCGAGTTTGAACTATGTGCCTGTTTCACGATTGTGTTTTGGAGAGCGGAGAAAGGGATATTGAATAAAGGGGTAATTTACTAGTGTCATCGATCAAGAGATGACTCTCAAAAACATTCTGTTATGTGATTAAATAGAAAATAATATTTATACACCATTGAAGCCTAAGAAATTTGGTGTTCAGAACAATTTTTTTTCAAGGGAGGAGATGGTCCAGGGAGAACTTTGAACAGTTCTAAGTGAAACTCCTTCCTGAACACACTTCCCTGAAGAAGACCTGCCAAGTCGGGTCGAAACGTTGGCTTTTAATAAAATAGTTTTGCCACTATTTAGTCTATTTATGACCGCCACCCCGGACCATATCCGTACATATATTATTACAGTAAGGCTCGAAATAGGTTTTGTACCAAATATAAACTCCTGTCATGCTCAAATACCATGAATGGGGTACCGTTGGATTCAGAATTCCACGGGGGGTTAGCGAATCGTATTCTCCGCTTTTGTTTTTCTTTATAAAATAAATAAAATCGATACAAACATTTTGCTAGGCTTCAATACTGGAACGGTGGTAGGTCTGTAGATCGATGCGGGACCAATTGGACCTTGAAGATTTTGATGCGTACAGCAAGACCCGGGTAGTTCCTCCGGAACTATCGGATCCTGCGTTTTTAAGCCCCAAAACGTACCATTTTCGAGATAACGCAAGGCATGGGGTTCGCATCCACACAACCTGACGTTAATTGGAGTACTGTCATTGGATACATGTCTCATTTCGTCGACTTGAGGTCTCTATGATCGAGACAGGAGGAGTTTATATTATTTATCGATGATGTTTTTGATCGGTAGGCCATATCATCGTCAATTTTTCACCAAATCTCAAGATTGAGCCATCAATTCCGAAGGCTTCCTTCTTCTTCAGGCGGGAAAAATATTCCAATCACCCCTAAAATTCAGGCAAACAAGTTATGAAAAAAAATAAACTTTATTTGCGAAAAACTAAAAAATTACACACTTTTCCCTTGGTTATTCCTATGATTATATAAAGCATTACTTAATTGTCTACAAAACGAAAAAAAATCATTGAAATCGGACAATTTTTCGCAAAGATACAGCTTATTGAAATTTGTAAATATGTTGGTTCCAAACAAAAATGAAGATTTAAATTAATTTGGTTTCCTTTGTGGATTATATTTATGGATAAAGTAACAATTGATTTCTTTATCTTTTGATACGTTGCATTATTTTATTTTCTCATTAATTTGGCATTTGATAACAATATGCTGTGCGAATTTTTCGCACGGGCCTACTAGTCCTTCCTTAATAATACAATGGTCAACTATTAAGTATTCCATTTTTTTTTTTCAGTTTACAACCAACCTCGCATTTGTAACTTACGGTTTATAATATATGGAAAAAGTTTAGATAATTTATTTTCAATAACACAATGTATTAATATAGGTACCTGTCCTTTGGTTTTGGTTTTGGGTAGGACAGGCGCACTCCTATCGTTGCATTTAACGTGATTCAGTTTTATCCCTTTTTCAACCTCTTTCATCATGTCCGTCCAATCCGGTCGTCTCCTCGGCCTACTTCTCAACGCCTCTAACTTCACCTCTTTCTCCTTTGAAATAGGTCTAGGCGGCTTCTGACCTGAGCAAAAATATATTATTAAAACATATAAATAAGTACATATTTTTTTCAAATGGATTATTTCAAAATTGAATTTGAATTTAAATTTTCGATATTCAAAGGCGTGATTTTTAGATTTTTTTGTTTTCATTTTTAAACATTATTAGAACGTCGAAGCCATTATTATACGATGAAAAATATATATGTAGTCTTATTTTTATTAGTAGATGTTTGTCTGCGTTATTGTGCTTTAATTAATCCCCACTGAGATCTCAGACCTATGTTGTGGAGCTTATAAGCTACCTCGTACTTAGACAAGTCATAATATCTGAGTTGTTCTGTTTTATTTTATTTATTTAGAAATATAATAATCTGTCACGTGGACAATAATTATAGTGAGATATGAACACATTCACACCATATATATAGAAACCATAAAATTAACCAAAGTAAAATAATAATCAAAAACTATGTACAATAAAAAAATTATATAACCTAAAGATAAGAAAATTGAAAGCATAAAAACACAGTCATACCTTTACACAATATATAAAATTAGGCTGGGAACCCCAAGCCAGGCTTGTCCCTCCAACTATAGAGGAAAAAGCAGGACTCCAAGAGATCCCTGCGCTACTCCCTCAATTGCGTCACCGGTGCTAAAGCCAGTGAATATTGAGCGAGAGTGCTTTAGCCACATACACTCGTGTCTTGAGTGGAGAATCTGGCCATTGCCAGAACTCCAAAATATATATTACAAAAGATCTCTGGACCACTGCCCCTTCAACCTTCGAGGAGGATTGTAGGGATGAGTGGAACTAGATAGAGATTATGCAAGGAGATTTGGATGATTTGTAAGGTTCTGATGGAATTTGGAAAAAATTTCAGGGATAAGGTCTATGACTAATGGAATATTAAGGTCATGATGTAGGGTTTTGTTGGTTACATAGAAGTGAGCATCGACTATTGTTCGGAGGACTTTCGACTGAAAGGATTAAATATGTTTGATGTTAGAAACTTTAGCTGTCCCCCAAAGTTCAAGTCCGTAGGTCCAAATAGGCTTCAGGGTTGTCTTGTAGATCAGTAATTTGTTGTCAATTGAAAGTTGAGATTTTCTAGTCAGTAGTCTGTATAATTGGCCGTATCGTCTCTTAAGTTCTTGTCTTCTTGTTTTTAAATTCGAAACTATTATTGTCAGGAACTATTCCTTATGGACAGATCCCCAGTCTCTTTAGCGGTTACAAATTCTGTTTAAAATAGATCAACTATGGTCCCCTTTTATTTGTTTACGAAGTAGATGTTTGATAAATTTGAAAAAAAATAATAGATTTTTTTATTATAGTACTGCTACTGGTGGGAGAAATATTCTGGCAAATGAGCCTTGTGCTCCTTTTTGCCAACCCTTGATGGCTACCATGAGATTTCCGCCGCTTACTTACCAATGTGGGAGTGTCTAGATTCATTTCTCGGGGCCGCTGAGAAATAAAAATTAATCGACACATAACATTCAGAACCGGGCACTCTGGGACCACGCCTTAACGTGCTCGGCCATCACGTCCTAGATTTTAATTCAGGATATTAAGATATTCAATATAATTGAATCAAGCATTTTATTGAAAAAACTAAATTACATTATTTTAAAAGTAATTATGACAGATAGACCACGATCAGGATCTTCCCGAGGGTGAACTTATGCGGCACAATGTTGAAGCTGACATCTTGTTTTTATTCTTAACCTCCTATATTCTCAACACAATATTTAGAAATATATAAATTCATCAGTAATCTTGTAATATGTGTATATTTTTGTAAATATTTTTTTTGTATTATCGGAATTTAAAGGAAAAATTTAGTAAACCAACGACTTCCTGTCCTACAGTTTCCTTTAACAATACTCCACTTATCCCTGTTGAGCAAATCCGATAACTAGGACTCCACCTGGACAAACGACTAACTTGGAATCCTCATACTAGACTGAAACGACAAGAAACCGCTCGACGTTTCCGATTACTTCAGCACTTACTAGACAAACGCTCTAAACTTCCCATTAATTACAAAAGACTCATATACTTGACTATAATAAGACCTATTTGGACTTACGGAGTTGAGCTATGGGGCTCCACTAAACCATCGAATTCCTCTCGCATCCAATCCTTACAATCCAAAATCCTTCGTAAAATCCTCAATGCTCCTTACTTTGTCACTAATAAAATTATCCATAAAGATCTTAATGTTCCTTATGTTTCAGATCTGGCCCAATCCAGATACCTGTCCTTCCATAATAAACTTCAGAATCATCCCAACCCTCTCGTTTCTAACCTTGCTTCCTCTTCAATTCCTGATAACCCTCCGAGGCGTCTGAAAAGAAGATGGCCCCGTGATCTCCTAATGTAGTCATATCATTAGAGTGCTACCATTGGGTAGTTACTCAGCAAGTGTATTCATGTCATTATATCAATTATGTCCAAATTTACTTGATGTATTTATGTAATACAGTTGTAAATGTCATAAAGAAATAAAAAAATAAAAAAAAGGAAAAATTAAGCTGTTAGTTTCAACATAGTGCCTTATTATGTATGTGGTATGTAGTACATGGCTACCATGTACGCCTCCAAAATATATCTCCCTGGAAGAACTCCCATAGCAATGGCTGTTGGAAAATTATAGGATAATAATAAGAATTTTCAGATCACGAAAGGCTATGGAGAAGGTAGGCTATCCGTTTACTAATAAATGTATGTGAGTTAGCCAAATCAATATCGACAAGTTATCGGTGAAATTACAGTTTCCGAAGGCGTTTTACAAGGCGATATTTTAACTCCCCTGTTTTTTTTTCTGTACTCGTCAGATAAACTTATAAGGCAAAGGAATCCCGAGGAATTCCACTAATGAAAATGAAATGAAAAAATAATTTTATTCTGGGACTACTGTCCCCTAAGAATAATAACAGAGTTACAAATTTATGTATCTTAGTCTGACATAATAAAAATACCAACTAATTTATTGTTAATTGTTATTTCAATTGTGCAATGGATTGAAATTAAACATTGTATAGATGCAAGTAATTTTACATGTTAAGGGAAGTTTAAATGTGGAGTAGGTGTTGGAACAGGAGTTGTTTGAAGGAATTTGTGGATGAGGACTGACTCATGGGGGTAGGAAGTGAGTTCCATAAGGAAGCAGCACGAATGACGAAGGATTTGCTGAAGGAGGAAGTTTTATGGGAGGGAATATATAAGTCTTTAGGTTGAGATGTAATTGAATTCATCATCCTCCTACATGTAGACAATTTGGTGATCTCTTAGCTGACACCTGAAGAGATGGCCAGAACAAACTCCAGATCCTAGAAAATTACTGTCTAGAAAAAGGGCTAACAGTAAATTCTAACAGAATAATAGTTTTGACATTCCAAAGAAGTGGTAAAGTAGGGAGGATCCTTGAAATACACGAATACTGTTTTACAAGAAGTGAAAAAGTTTATCTATCTTGGAATCCCATTTTACTCATATGCCATGTTCTGGTTAGCTACCCCTCATTTCTTAAAAGCATGTATAATCGCAAACTTAACTGTTTTGAGTCAATACCAGAAAGTATTCTTTTATATTTGTCTGAAATATGGGGACTAGAATATGCAGACCAAATAGAAAAATGCCATTTAACATGCTTAATACTTCTTTTGCATAGACTAATAAATACCCTAAGTATTCAGGTCAGGTTGGAAACAGGACAAATTCATATGAAGTATAAAATATTTAAACGAATGCTCAATTGGTGGCCTAACGAAATTGTGCTACCTTCGACTCACAGATTTCCAACATCATTCAGCTGGATAGCAATATTAAAAAAATATTTAATATCGTTAGTAGCACAAGATGTATGACTGAAGCAGATACTGACTAGAGATGATTACATCAATTTCATGGTAAAGTCGCAAAACCGCATGGATTGTATGGAAATTGAAAATGCCCTAAAAAGCACTTCTAACCCCTTTTATCAATACATAAGCTTCCTGAAAAGAGTTGAAAAACATCTCAATTTAAAAACCCGCATAGACAACACCAGACTAATAGCTCAATTAAGCGGCTGCCGAAACAAAAGAATCTATATTCAGATGCATACTATAAAATTTAGAGCTGAATTTTTGTTCTCTCTGTACTAAAAAAGAGAGGAATCAGTATACCACTTCATTCTATCATGCCCAATATTGCAACATTATTAACATTATAAACAGTATTTCATAGCTTCCTTTCTTTACCAGATCATTAGAAACTCATCGACTCTCCTATATTTTTCCCAGCTTACAATGTAAATACTCCATCCAATCCCGTCTAGATCTCGTACTTCCAACCTTTATCCTCCTTCTCACCAAACTGCTGCGTTTGACAAATCCAAGCTCCCTCCATCTGGAATTCCATCTCTGCTGGTATTCAACACGCACAATAAGTTTCCTCTTTCAAACCTCTCCTCTTTAAACACCAACTCCTTACTCAATAATTACGAAATATACCTAAGAGAACTAAGTACCGCCGCCAGAGACTATTTCTGTTATTTTAGTTTCCTTTGTTTGTCTTTATATATATGTACGCTTTTCTTTTCTTTTTTTCTCCCTTCTTCTGTATTTTTATTATTTTTAATTAACTATTATTGTAAATATTTAATTCATTTATGACCACACATATATGTTTTCTGTACTTATAATTTGTTCTAAAGGAATAACAGTCCCAGAATAATAAAATATATTTTCATTTCATTACAGATCAAGATTAATCAGCCCAGTTATTCACAATTTAAATACATTAGACAAATTGACATACATCCTTACGCAAGACAAAGAAGAAGAAATCTATAAGATCTTTCACTTCACCTTGTGTAGACTAAAATTCAGAAAACTTCTGTCAAATGTATAAGACCAAAGACAATCTTTCTATATTTCATTAATAATTTTTAACTTAAGTTTCATCGTTTGTATTATTATCATTTCTACTGCTTTTTGGAGAAGCTGGGTGTGGAAAGGAGCGATGTACAGAATATTGCGGAATCAATTTTGGACTCGTTGGGAATCCTGCACAATCACATATACTGATTCTGGGCAGTTCGTTATGAGCACTGCGGCAGTCGTGAGAAAGGAGAAAATTAAGTTTAGCAATAAGAAAATAAAAGATAACATTCGGTACTTTGAATGATAGTCCTGTAAAACTCTATTCTTTGTTCTCTCTCATTAAATATTGTATATTAGGATTTATCAGTATGCTGGCTGTTGTAGCAACTCAACATGGTTGAGCAGCTTTGTTGTACTTTTATCTACAATGACAATGTAAAGTATTTTGTTTTATTTATTATTATTTTGTAAAATATTTATGTATGCATTTTATTAAATTTATAAGAAGAAACTTCATATTACTTTGTATTTAAATAATTACTATTGAATTGTTAAAAAAACAACTCCTTGCTGTAAGATGTTCTTTATAAAGAATGAATCATTCATTCATTCATAAAAATAATTTTCATTGATTGGAGTTACCTACCTTGAGAAGGAGGAGGAGGTGGTGGTGGTGGCATCATAGGCGGTGGCATTGGAGCTTGTGGTATTTTTTCCTCAGATTTCGATGGGGGTTCTACAATCTTCACCCTCACCTCTCTTGCATCTTTCGGTTTGGTAGGTTCCGTTTTTTCATGGACGATATTGATAACTTTTTCCCCTTTCACTCCCCTCTCATTTGCAATCGATTTCTCACCGCTCGGCTTTATTTGAACATTTTTCTGCGGTGGTTGATCTCTGTTCGTTGAAGGAGTTTTGCTCACAGGTGGTTCTTTGTTCACGTGTGGTCCTTTCCTTGTCGATGGTCCTTTGTCACTGTTCGCCTCCACTGTCGGTTCTCTCTGGATTTTTATCTCCCTTTCTTTAGCAGGTTTAAGGACTGGAGGTTGCGAGTTTGGCGCACTTTTGTTTTCGTTGCTCTGTAACAAAAAAATGAATTTAATTAAAACAAAAATAATGTTCATGAAATGCGTTGTTGTTTATTACAGATTAAGTAGAGTTCGACCATAAATCGATGTCTGGACGGTGGAAGACCGGGAACAGGAAGAGTGGAGAAGCGAGGACAGTCTTTAATTTCCTGCCAAGTATAGTAGCATATCATTCCTGATATTTATGAATTTGCTACTTTTTAATGCTACTTTCATTACCATCTTCAATGCGCTTTTGGATCGATCCTTGGTTGGCCACTGCTGTAGTAAATTGCTGGATTTTTGTGCAACAACAAATGGATAATATTTTAAATAAAACGTATAAAGTATATTAAAATGTGAAGACTCAAAATAATTAATACGTAAAACCGTTAAAGCAACTGCATGTACGTAAAACCAAAGAGCAATAATTTTGATGAAGAAAGGTAATTTTAATAGAAAAAGTAAACAGTGATTGAAAATAAATCTATTAATGTTTAATATTGTCCTACAAGTAAACAACTAGCTGACCTTCTTACATAACCTCTAGGACCAATCAAGTTTGGATAATTAAAAAAAAAAACAAATTGTGACCTTGGAAAGATTTATTTTTGTTGTACCCTTGTTAATCGCTAATTTTTATTTTTTGTATATTAAATGTTGTAATTTATTTCTATAAACATTGCATATTCTTTTTAAATATTCTATATTGTAGTTTATGTCTTAAATGATGCCTTTTTGCTATTTATAATGTAAACCTTTTTTTTTTTTTTTTGTATAAAACTGTTAACTAATTTTGTATATAGCGCTTGCAAACCGCCACACTGTAAGCTTCACACTCATCGGTGACCTCTGACGAAACACTCAGCCAATGAAAGCTAGTGTAATTGTTTTAAGTCTGTCTGCCCCCTGGTAACCTATGTTGTAGTCCATGCTTAAAAAGTTCTTAAATATAATCCATTTTAATCTTAAAAGTGTTCGATTCTGTTTAATAAAACCAAATAGACCTAACCGATGATGGCACTAGCGGATCCAGAATTTAATTTTGGGGGGGGGGCTTCAGCCTGAAAGCTTTTTTTTTTCATATATATAATGATAACATCTTTGAAAAAAAAAGAAAGATACTTACTACATATATGAAATGGTGTTTATGTGATTCTTGAAGTCCTATTAAATATAATTACACGAACAATAATACTTTAAGAGATAATTTTTAAATATTTTTTTCCATTAAACGTGGTTACATTTTACCATTTTTGGGGAACGGCTTTAGTCTGAAAGCCGCCCCCCCCCATCCCGTAGATCCGCCTGTGGTACATAGGTACTTAATAACTTCATGAACGACACTGCTGTTATCAAAACATTCCTTCAATTTAAAAGCCAGAAAGAAATTGTATTTTGTCCCTAAGGGTCAAGTATTTACTCCTGCTAGTGTTAGACTTATAAACTGAATGGTTGAATGGCACGATTTTTAAAACCTGAAACATATTTAATTTATCTGTGTCGCGGTGCTTTTTTTTTTTTTTTTTTTTTTTTTTTTTTTGTCAGGTATTACATTCTGTGTCTAGTTTTCGAATTAAGGGTTATTTAATGTACTTTAGTCTATTTTTGTTTTGTTTTTTGCATATATATGCATTTATGAAAAAAATGTGTTATATTAATTGAGAAAAAAAATCATAACCTCTACAAATCATGAACGTCATGTAATGTAGTCAGTAAAATTGAGCGTATCGTACAGATTAAAAATAGTAAAAATGAATATATCCTATAACCAATGACTAAGATGGTGCTAGAAGACATTGTCGTAGTTTTAAGTTCAATTTTTCTCATTACATTTTAGCGCGACAAACCACTATTTAATATCCAGTAGGTACAATGATTGGACGACCAATATTCCGTTGTACAGACCCATTTTTATCAAATTATTAACATCCTCTTAAAACTTCGTGAATAGCATCTTATCCACAACTTTTTTATTTACGAAAATTCTCGGAATTGGGGCGTTTTCAATCTGGAGATCGGCAAACTTTGTCTATTTAATTAGGTACTTAAAACTCATAAATACCCATTTGCTTTCTATAAACATATTTCTATAAAAAAACGTTAGGCATACACAAACTCTTTATTTTGACATGTTGAGGGTAGAAGGTCACGCCAAACGACCTAATATTTTTGTAGGTCGGCTTTATTCTCGATTTTGTGATAAAATTTTATTAAGATTCAAGTTGAAAGAAAATGGGTTTTCATGAGTTTTTAATACCTAATTAAATAGACAAAGTTTGTCGATCACCAGATTGAAAACGCCCTAATTCGAGAATTTTCGAAAATAAAAATTTTTTAGGTTATAATGAGATGAAGCTATTAACAAAATTTTAGGCGGATGTTAATAATTTTTTAAGAAGGGGACTGTACTATGGACTGCAATAATCGATGGATCCTTGCTAAACTGGAATAATTCATTCTTTGCAATTATCTTTTTACTGCCCTTGGTTTGAAAATGCCTTAGAAGTTCAAATGTAAATATTCGGTGAAATATTGAAAATCTAAATGTATTCTTTTCAATGTACGATTTTCAGGATATAGATATCTCACAACAAACTTTGAGGGAGCTAATAAAACAATATTCTGTTGTGGTATTTACAATAAACATGAGATGAATGGATAGAGTAAATATTGAAAGGGATTCCTGAAAGGAGACACTGCATTGATGTGGGATACGGCTAAAAATAAAACGGTTCCACTCACAGTAAAGACGCACAATCATAGAAGAATCTGGCAGCATTGAGATGAAACTACACTTTGGCAGTGGATGGCAAATATAACAATGGGAACAGCCGCTCTCAACTGATTGTTCACAGTTGGCTATCAATAGACTTTGATAAATAGATCTTACTCATCTCATTGGCCAATGAGCTAGGGTCTGCCCTTCGCACATTGCTCTAATGACAACATTTGTTAATGACAAGTTAGATTATTTTTGTGAAGTATCATCAACCCATAAGTCGGAAATCTATGACATGATTAGTATACAGAAACTACTGAAAAAGTATGAAAAAAACCTGCACTACAACCCATGAAAGGTTTCGAGTTCAGTATTTTATTGGATAATGATCTTTTTTTTTTTTTTTTTTTTTTTTTAAACACCCCAACATATCAAGAATCAAGTGCCCACTTTGAAAACGCTGAGCGTGCTAAAAGGATCTTCTGACTTTCTCGATCTGTGAAAAATGCAATAAAAAAAATGTTCTATTGCCGGATTCGGACCAGATCCATTTCAGAATTTCAGAATCTATTGACTTAACAAATGAGCTAAACTACTGTGTATGTACATATAACATACATATAATATGTCCCTGGCCTGATCGAAGCTCTATTTTTTAAAAGCAGCTTAAACATTTTTAAATAATTGTTATTAAAGACATATGGAAGTAATATTGTGTACCGATTGAGCTATTTGTAGTTCTAGCTTTGAAGAGGATCCCATGGTTGACTAATAAAAAGAAAATACCGGGATCAAAACGTCAATAAACAGAAGAAATGAATATTCAATAGTTTATTAAATAATAATTAAATGACCTTATTCCCAATTAAATAGTTAAGTTTAAAGTTGTAAAAATATAACATATAATATAACACATCATTCATAATGGAGATGGGCGGTGGTTTCTGTGGTTTTTTCCATTGTAGATTACTTTGGAGGCCTCACTTACGAAGGTTTGGGAACATTGGAACACTCGTTTTTACCATAATTGGAATGTACTAATATATTTAGGATAGGTGTTTGACAGTTTTTTCCACATCCTCTCGTCAGACCTAGCGTATACAAACAATACAACCACCAGCTAACATCAAGGACCGGAAAGTATCTGGGCTTAGAATTGGTTATGAGTGCTGCTAAGTAGGTTCCTTAAAACAAAATAACAAATATATGGACTGAATGAACTGAAATTTTTGGTCATGAAACTCTGGGGGAGTTTGACATCTCATTACCAATTTTTAAAAAAATAATAAAAAAATGAAATAATATAAGCTCCCAAAAAGTATTAAAAAAAAAAATTAAACTCGATATTGTTATAAACGAGAATAGTTTTTGGATAAATAAAAGCGCTGAGATAGTAATATTAATAGTTTTTTTTCGATTACAAAAATAGCAAAATGTCATACATTAAAAATATAGAAATGCCATAAAAAAAACAAGAAAAACGGATGGAATATACATCAAAATTTAAAGGGTTTACGTCTCAAGTACCCCTGAAGCATTTGGCTTTTTTTCAGATCGGAAAATTGGAGGTTGCTGAACACATGTCATCTTTGTATGATTTGTCAACGAAAAATGGTTAGATACTTATCAAGTACTAAATTCAAAACATTTCAGGGTTGAAGTGGGAATTTTGTTTTGTTTTTAAATTTAAATTTTATTTGTTTTAGTTTTAAAGTGCAATAAAATTCAACGGTCATCATCTTCTGTTTTCTTTGTTTTTGCGTGAACTGGATTATCTTTTCATATCTTGTTGTAGTCCAACCTTTTTATGAACTTGATGATTTTGTTGATTTAATTGTGGTCTTCAGTCTGTACTTTAGCTAGAGATCGAGTTATATTTTAAATTAATTAATAATACGATATAATTTTCTCTAAATATTGGAAAATCTATGTACATAAGGCGAAAGATAATGTATTATATAAAAGAACACATGGCTACAAAAATTCCAACATCTACAAACATATTTCTAAACAACGGCACGTGGCGCAGCACAAGTTATAGCTGGCATGCCGCCAACTAACCAATCGGAAGATGAGGAAAGAGAAGTAGAATTTTCTCAACCAGATTTCAACAAGATACGTTGCGGAGGGCTCATATTTTAAACGAAATCTTCTAAGCTGTAGCATGCTGGAGAGTTGGAAGGAACAGATAGGTGGGTTAACAACGAAGTTCAATAGGACCTCCTTTTCCTGACTTCTTCACGTATTCTGCAAGTCCGGAGAAGTGATTGAACAATTGTTTCTTCAAGAG